TAGAATCACAAGATATTAGAACTACAAGCTCCTTCTAAAAACTTTTGTGCAATCTGTTCAGTGAGATACAGGTAGGGAAAGGTAAAGTTACTTGCCTAGAGCCACTGTTTCAGTCAGTGCGCGTTCAGTAGATATTTATTCAGCGCCCCCTACTGTAGAGTATTGGTAGAGAGACTGGGGACACCGCAGCGAACAAAAGGGACAAGACCTCTCTTACCCTCAAGTTTATACGCTAAAGAAGGGAAAAAGACAAAAAATAAGTGAAATATCAAACCATCCAATAGCCATAAGGACTATGAAGAAAAATAAAGCAGACAAGGGAAGAATTATTACAGACGGGAGCTGTGACTTTTAATAAAGTGTGGTCCGAGAGGACCTAAGGGATCAAATGATGTTGAGCAGAGATATAGGCAGATAAGCAGGAAGTCACATGTGCCAGGGTGAGGAATTTCTGGGACAGAGACAACAGCGAGTGCAAACGTTTGTGGGAGACTCAGCCTGTTTCAGAAAGAGTACCGAGGCCAAAGTGGCCAGAACAGAGCCAGCACGTGGAGGCCACAGCGTGCTGGGTGAGGAGGGCCCAGGAAGGGCCTGGCAGGCCTTCGGAAGGGCTTGGCTTTTATTCTGTGAGAAAGGAAACTGCTGAAGGCTTATTAGCAGCAGAGTGACCTAATCTGACTTTGATTCATGTGGAGAATACATGGTAGTAGGGGAATGACCAAAATCAGAGACCACATAGGAAGCTGTTGTATTAATCCCAGGGGAGACGTGATATTGTTTAGTACTAGGGTGATGATAAGGGAAATGTGAGGAAAGGTGAACTTTGGATTATACAGAGTAAGTGGCAGAACTAGGACTAGACTCCAAGGTTTCTGACATGTAAATGTTCTTATTTATTTGTGTTTGGGTTTTATTTTTTTGAGACAGGGTCTTACTATATAATTGAGGCTTGCCTGTGTAGCCCAGGCTGGCCTTAGACTCATAGTGATCATCCTGCCTCAGCCTCCTGAGTGCTGGGATTATAGGCATGTGCCACCACACCTGGTTCTTAAGTGTTCTTTTTGACACACTACTATGTTGCTAAAGAGAATATTCCCAAGACACAATTTAACTTCTCAGTCACATCTAAGGATTAGATTGTTCCACTTTTCTGTAGTGTTGGGGAATGAATCCAGGTCGTCCTGCATGCTAGGTGAGTACTATGAGCTACACTCTCAGACCTAGAGCTGCAATTTTTAGTAAACAAACAAGACACAGCTTATAGTCACTCTACCAAGGAAACTTTTGTAACTAGAGTAGCCCACATTTACAGGTTGACTCAACAAAGGAAGGAAATTTAATGATCTGAGTTCTTTATTTGAGCCAGTTAGCCACAGGTCAGCTAACTGAATTTACACGCTTACCAGTCATAGATCCAGGATCTGAACTCTGGTCAGCCTTCTCACTCCAAAATCCACAACACCACCTCAACGTGCCTTGTTACACAAATATGTTTACCAATTGCAGATTGTGGTAGTGAACCTCATTTATAAAAATGAACACGGTTTTAAAACAGATTGCCTTATGTCAAGGTGCCCAAAATGTATTTCATGGAGCACTAGTCTGTGACAGATATTAATATGTATCCCCCCAAAATAATTAAATAAGTAACAGAAAAACAGCTTGGCTCTGTTGGAGATCTGTAATATAAATGGACATAATAAAGAATATGAGCAGGGTGTGGTGGCACACGCCTGTAATTTCAGCACTTGGGAGGCTGAAGCAGGAGGACTGCTGTGAGTTCAAGGCCAGCCTGGGTTACACAGTGAGTTCAAGGCCAGCCTGGGTTACACAGTGAGTTCAAGGCCAGCCTGAACTCCATAGCAAGACCCAGTCTCAAGGACCTGAGAGATGGTGCAAACATAAAATCACCTACTATATTGAGAGACCCTACTGTTTAAGACACGCAGTTTAAGAAATGCTGAGCTAAAGATCTGCAAACTTTATCATAGTGCAAGTTCCCTGGAGGCAAGGGTAATGCTTTCTTGGGAGTTACATGTCTGGAGCAGGAAGAGTGAGTGAAGAGAGAAATAAGACTGGGAAACAAACACCAAGTGATAACACACCTGAGTTAGTCACAGCTCTATGAACCATGGAAGCAGCACAGTGAATTATTCAGCCACATAGGATGTCCCTGGACAGGCAGATTAGAAAACTGCCCTGGAACAGTCCCTCAGGAAAAAAGAGCAAGGACTTTATCTGCCAGCTCCATTTCCCATTTCTCACTGGGAAATGTACGTACTGCAAGCAAACTCTCACACAGTTGAGTTGTCACCTGGCTCCTTCCATAGCTTCTGGGGAAGCCAAAGCTCACACCCTGTTGGCAGGTGCTTCAGTCTCTGAGTAAGGGGAGCCCGAACTGCCAGGGGCCCAGCTGGGTTGGTCTGGAAGTTGGCATTGCAGAGGTTGTACCTATAGCAGGTGCCATCCGGGCCAGAGCCTCACACCTGGGAGAGATGAGAAAGCAGCCCAGAGGTTGAGAGACAGATAGAGGCAAAATAATCTGAGGGGATGCCCATACAGTCTGGAAGTGTAAAAGGGGATAGAATGTAGCTTTGGGAGAAGGTGCCCAGGAGAGGTATGAGAACAGAACATGCCCAAGAGAGGTACATGGGATGGAACATGCTCAAGAGAGGTACAGGGGACAGAATGTACCTCGAGAGAAATGAGGGACAGAACGTACTGAAGGGTACAAGAGAACAGAGCATGCCAAGGAGAGGAATGAAGGGACAGACCACTCTAAGAGACACAAGGGAGCAGAATGTACCTAGCAGGTATAAGCTGGTACCAAGGTGGTAATCTCCCATGATTATTTTTAACTAGCCCATGTTTCCTAGAAAAAAAAAGTTTTATGCATAAATAACCAACTTTCCAAGAAAACACAAACCTACAACAGAAGATTTTATCACAAGAAAGGATTTCAAGTGTCACAACAACTAGGCCACATAATTCTTCAGCCAAGGGAAACACAGGCACAAGACAAGTCACCTAGGTTATTCTGACACAAGTTGTCATAAACTCTCCGACACCATAAATATAATAAATAACCCCTGTGGAAAGCCTTTTCCCGCCTATTACAATTCTTTCCTGGAATATATAACATAAATGAGCAATGACCAATCAACAATCTGTCCTACTTTTGTCAGCCAGTGTAATTGTAATAACCCACTTCTGTAGTGCCTTGCTTTTTAATCTGTAAAACCAGAGGCCTGGCCAGGTGGCCACTTTGGAGTAGTCTGGGCGACTAGAATGTGTTTCTCAGGTGGCTAAATAAACTCCTTGTGTTCACGTTGAGTGAAATCCCTGAAGCTGAGCATCAAGGACTCCCGATTTGCCTTCACCTGACATTTGTATTTCTTCTCAGGGTGGCCACCCTCTCTATCCTGGCCCATTGTGTGATGTCAGCAATTGCAAGTAGGCAAACTAATCGGTAAAGAAAAATAATCCCTGTTCTTAAAAGTTGCAGACCTGGAAAACGTCATGTAACTCAGCCATCAAGATGAAATGTACATCAAATTTTACCCACCAATCTACAAATCCCCACAGCCACTCTGAGAAGGTATGTACCAGTCTGTGAGCACTGACTGCCCACCAACATAAACTGCTTCTAAATCAGATTCCTGGATGGACTTGGAAGACGAGTTCTCCATCTCCTCTACCTGCCAGCTTTTTGAATAGTTACCACCCTTGCCTCAACACCTTGTCTCTCAACAAACTGGCCCGTTGTGTGGCAAGTAGCTAAGCTGGGTTCAGTGACATTCCCACTTGCTGTTGGGACCCTCTCAGTGCCCACCATACATAGCAGCCTGCAGGGAGTTCCAGGTGCCCACCGCCAACTCTTCTGCCAAGGGCCTCAGGCTGGTGAGAACAAAAGTGGCAAACCAGGCCTTGGGCTCTGCAAGGTCCGGCTGGAATCAGCTTGCCAGGCTATATTCCCATGAGCAGAGGAAGCGCAAAAAAGGGCAAAGAATGCAACTGAGGGGAGAGACCAGGACTCCACACCTCTCTCAAAATTACATCTAAAATGCTTTAGAAATTAATTAAATAGACTAAGTCTGTCATTTTTCTTGAAAATAAAATTCAAGCAACAGAGCTTCATTTTAAAATGAATGCTTTCATTATTCTTTGAGGATTATTTTATCAACTATATACCCAAATTAATGTAATAAATTGACCATGCACTAACAATCAAAATAGATTAACTGTTCACCTCAGGATGCATTTAGCAGAGGTGAAACAAACTTGAGGACAGCATTCCCATTTTAAACAGAGAAAATATTTTTCAGAGGGAAAAATGATTCAGAGAAAAAGCCTGCAAGACATAAAAACAAAAGACAATGCCTTTATTTCTATTTAAATCAGGGCATAAAAAATAAATTTGCCTGCATATACATAGAGAAGAAAATAAGGATAAGTATGCAGGGCCTATAATGCACTCTGTGGTCATCACAGAGATGTTTTTGCCTGTACTACAGGGCTGGAGACGTGTTCGTTCTCTACAACAAGGGTGTACTCACCAAGCATATGGCACAGTCTTGAATAAAGCGGACAGTCTCCCTATGTGCAGAACACGGTTCATTTCTTACAGTCCAATTATGCATTTTTCCATAACCCTTTTCAACCTGCTCACACATTATTTTGTCATCGTTTTCATGTTACCCAGGAAAATCCCTGCTTTTTCTATATTACATTCATGTAATAATTCTGACTCCAAGTGTGTGTGTTTTCCATACTAACCAATTCTCTAACTCTGGCTACAAACTGAGTGTCCTACAATTTAATTCTGATACCATAGGTTTTGGGCTCAGTCCCACAAGACTGTCCTCACTTCAGACTCCAATCACAATGAGTGGTTATCCACACGCCTGTCCAATTTAGCTACAAATCACGGTCCATACAACACCATCACCAAGTTTGATAATTTGCTAGGATGACTCATAGAACTCAGAGAAACACCTTTCTTATGATTACCAGTTTATTATAAAGGGTAGTATAAAGGGCACAGATGAGCAACCAGTAAAGATGTACAATAGGGTGAAGGCCCAGCAGGATCCTGAGCACAGGGGCTTCTGTCCTCATAAAGGTAGGGTACACCATCCTCCTGGTACATCCATGTGTCCACAGTCTCGAAGCTCTCTGAACTCCACAGTTTAGGGATTTTTAAGGCTTCATTGCATCAGGTGATTGATTATTAACTCAATCTCAGCCCCTGTCCCTAGGGTTTGTGTGTGTGTGGGGGGGGTAGTGACAATTACAAGTTTCTAGACATGGTTTGGTTTTTGTGACAAGACCCTATCCTGAAACTATACAGTTGCCCACCAAAAATCACCTCATTCAAACAAAAAACATTGCTATCAAGAGGTAATTTGAAGAGATTTAAGAGCTCTGTGTCACATCAGGAAATGGGGTCAAAGACCAGCAGAACAAAAGAAGTACCCCTATGAAGCAGGATATTACAAGGCTTTGAGGAGCCGTGAACAAGGAACTGGGGACAAAGATCTAATACATATTTCATATTAAATCACAATATCACAGCATCTCAATATACTTTCACTACAGGTTAAAGTCTACAGACTGGCTTAACTGATGTGTAGCAAGCTACTCCCTCAGGGCATATGGGAAAGTATAATAATCAGATGGATAAACCACTTCCAGAGCCACTTCAAGGAAGACCATCTGTGAACTGAAATGCCTTATGGAATTTAGACATTAATGACCTTTAATTCCAAAGGGCCTAGGTATCCTTGACCTTATCTTCCTGGCCTTTTACTTCCAATATCATATCGGTATCCATCTTCTTGGGGTCAGCAGCACTGTCCACTAAACACAATTGAGCATTTTTTAATTCCATTGCATGCCAACTACAGAGCCTTATGTGGCAGGTGGATAAACGTTTGCCAAAAGGAAGTAAATTTTTAAAATATATATTGTTCAAAAAGGTTTTATTTTTGTGAAAAACAGGAATAAAAAATTTAAAAGCCAGAGATTATATGTAAGATAATTACAAGACTAGCATCTATGCCTATCAATCTGTCAATTCTAAGCTAAGGCCTCAGGTAATGACATAACGGGTAAGTCCTCCCCCTCGGATTTCTGACAGTCTCCGGCAAACTCGCAAAATATTCAGGATCACATAAAGCTTCTTGTCAGCCTTCAGAGTTGTGAACTCCTTTATGTCAGCTTCCACTATAAAATAATGACCTGAAAATAAAGATATGGATGCTAACATTTTTAACGTCAACTTTTAAGATGAGTCTTTAAGGTACCTAATCGTGAATATGAATGGCATTAATCATTCTTACTATCATTATCCAATTAAAGTAAGAAATGTATTCTTCCCCAAATAATAATTATTCTATCAACTGAAGCTGCATAATATTACTACAGCACTTTAGCATTGTAGCCCTGCTTATTAGCTCCCTAGCTACCTGTTGGTATCTCCTGAACAACTCACTTTTCCAGAGGCATTATGCAGTAGAGGTTAACAGAAATGAACTCATAGCAGCTCTACCACTGGATGACTTGCATAATTTAAGCAATCTTTGCCTAGGCTACAAAATGGAATGAGGAAAGCTGGGTACAGTGGCTCCTGCCTATAATCCCAGCTCTCAGGAGACTGAGGCAAGACAGTCATGAATTTGAGGCCAGTCAGAGACACACAGAGAGCGCACTGCTAGCCTGGATTAAATAGCAATACCCCCTCTCAAAAAGGGGGCCAGTAGGGGAGATAAGGACATTATGAGGACTAAACCTCTTAACACACTAACTGGTACCAGTATGTACTAAATAAGCATGATCAACTGTTATCACTACTATTCCACTTAAAATATTGGGTATAGTTTCATAATAGACTCTAGAGCAGTGTTTCTCAGCTTCAGCACTGCAGACATTCTTAGGGCTATCCTGTGCATTTTAGGGTAGTACCTCTGTCCCCATCCCAGCTGTAACCACCAAAATATCTCCAGCATGTCAAATTTCCCCAGTTGGAAAACTACTCATAATTGAGGATTAACTTCTTGCATTAGAATTTTCTAGCATGAGCTTTGTTTCTCATGATTAATTATACACCAAACAGTTGACACATGCACAAATATATAATACCTTTTTACCTTTAGTATCCTTTGTTTCTTCATTAATAAATCTTTGATAGAGATTTCTGGTTACAGAATTCATAGATTTCTTTGATTGATGAACAATCTTGTATTTGCTAACTACTGCTTTGTTGATTTCTTTAATAACATCATTAATTTGACAATAGGTTAAGCGGGATTTCATGTACCTGTAAAAAAAAAGTATACAGTTCTTTTAAAAAAATCATTACACAAATTACTTTCTTTGAAAAACATAAATACTGTAACTTTGTGCAGTATCAAAGCATACTTTATAAAAAATATCTTTTAGGAAAACAATTATATCAACTTCTGTGTAGTCCAGACACACCTTACCATCTAAAAATTAATAGAGATAACAACATATTAATGCTCAGCTTCCCTAATTATATCTGAATGCATAAATCTCTACTTTCCACCTACACAGTATTAATACTACAACTTAAAATAAGGTCTCAAATTCTAATTCAAACAGACTGAATAACTGCAAGATGTAACTTTATTAAAACATTTTTAAAGTGTGCAAAGGAAAGAAAATTTTAAATGTTGAGCAAATGTACAACTTATACCATTGTTTTCTGGAAAAACTGTTATATGTATAAAGACAGTTCAAAAAAAAGGAAGGGAAGATGAAAGTAGACAAAGAAAATCAGAAGAAAGATGACAACTGAGACACAGAACTCATGGGGCAAGATATATAAAGCATGAGAAGCTTCTCAATTTAAGCACAAAGGTGGAGAACTAGTGAGTAGCATGCTTTTTTTTGTTGGCTAGCTCAAATTCTTTCAAAATATCTTCTCTTTAACTCTAAATTCTACCTGTCAGCCTGGATCTCATTTTCATCTGTCCTCACTGTCACCACAGATCTAGTCTTAGAATAAAAACGGGAGACTCAGTTTTGAGAGGTTTGGACACACCAAGACCAAAACTCAATGATCTGCCTCAATATAAATTGTGAATTCATTATGTTAAATTCTGTCAAAGAGTTTGAAGTGGCAATTTTGAATACAAAATTCTTTAATATAAAGCAATAAAGGAATTTATTCCTTTCTCTTTCCAAAAGCATTTATTTTCATTACTTTCCTTTTCAAAAGACTTTTTGCAGATCTGTTTTTTCTAACTACAATTTACAAAGTCTTGATACCATTCCTTTCTACAATGTACTTAGGAATCCCCAAGTCTTCCTCACTATGCCCTTTATTTCCTAAATACTCATCCTCTATCCCTGCCAGCTCCTTAGTTTAAAAAATGAATATTCTACCATAGCTATTTTAATTTCCTGCAACTCTTCACAAAAGCATTTTCTAAACTTTTTTTAATTTCACTGTTCTTTGTAGCTGTTTGCTCTTCCCTTTAACTCAGCTGATAACCAGCAACCTCAATAAGCAAATCTAAATAGCATCAATTTGTGAAACCACTTTCATGAAAATAAATCTATTAATATGGGAAATGACCAAAACAATTAAAGAGAAATGTCAATCACTAGTCAGAATTATAAAACAGCCAGATAGTTTTCAAGTGACCAACTGGCAACAATTTTTAAAACAGCAGGTAACGCTGGCAAAGGTGAGATGAGAGGGTATTCCTACGTACCACTGACAGAAATAAAAACTAGCTAAAAACTGCGCCCACAACGTTTCAAAGGGCAAGAGTCTAGGTAAACTGAGATAAGCCCAAGGAAGTGGAGGTGCAAAGGATGTCTCTTCTGACCACAGGACTACGTAAAAATGGCAGCTACATTATTTCATTTTTACCCGCCTCCCAAAATAGCCCACAAGGTCTGCATATAAACCCCTGAACTTGGGCATCTCCTCAGTGTCCTCTCTTGGAGCCCCTCTCAGCTAGCGAAAGCGTCTCCATTCTAATAAACTACACCTGGCTCGTTCCCCACTGCTGTGTCTGTGGACTTCATTCTTCGTCATTCTCAGGACAAGAGCCCAGAGGGAGGAGAACGTCAGTAATACCAGGAGCAGAAGCCACTGGAACTAGTAACTACAGGAATAAACAGTAGCTGACAAATTGCTGAGGCTCATTTTGGACTAGCCTGAAACTTGAAAACTCCTAGTGTCACAGTGCTTAGAAAGCCGCACAGACTCAACCGAGTGTGTGGTACAAGAAACAGATGAAAACCAAATACACACTCTTCATTCTAATTCCCAGCTATAAATCACACTCGACTTCCTTAAATGTACAGCAAAACCAAAGTAACTTCTGCATCATGGAATGGTCCCAGAGAGTCATAAGCAACAAACGGATCCATCTATATAGTACAAGAGCTTTTAGAACTAAACAAAAAACATGATTTTAAGCATTTCCAAGAGAAAAATCCTTCCTTTTCACAGAACAAGGTAAAACTAGACAAGATTGATATTTGAACACAGCATATTATAATTAATATGACCAAGCCTTATAATTTAAACAATCATTATGTTGACTGTTAGAGTTCAACATTAAAATTTTTCTTAAATACTTACGAAGGAATTGCATTGAATTCATCAGTAGATATAAATAGCATTTCTTTAATAATTTTTTGTTCTTTTGCAGGTTTCTTTGTGGGTTCAGGTTCCTCAACTTTGACTGGTTCTTCAGAGTCAAGATCCGACCCATTAACCCTACAGAGTATGTACGTAATTGTCAGAATGAAGCACATACTGGAAATTTTTCTCAATTGAAAATAATCAATATTCAACACATCACTCATTCAGTTTTAATAATGTTTTACCCAACCGTTTTTTCTATCCCTACACCTCCACTATGAAGACCTAAATAGTGAAAAGAATATTGAAAATTTCCCCTAAATATTCAATAATGGCTGTATACTAGTTATATTTACTTACATACCCAAAACATGGTATATGTAGGATATATATTAGATTTTTTTTACCTAGTACTGGGGATAGAACTTCGGTCTTTATACATGGTAGGTAAGTAATCAAATGTGCCACCACTGAGCTACCTGCCCAGACTTTTTTTTTTGTCTTTTTGAGACAGGGTCTCACTATGCAGTTCAGGCTGGCCTCGAACTCACTTTGTAGCCCAGGCTGGCCTTGAACTCGCAGCAATCCTCCTGCCTCAGTCTCCCGAGTGCTAGGATTATAGGCGTGCACCATCATGCCTGGCAGACTTGTTTTTAATTTTAAGAAAGTGTTTTACTAAATTGTGCAGGCTGGGTTTGAACTTCCTATGTTCCAGGCTGAGCCTCCCGAGCAGCTGGGATTATATGTACGCACAACCATGCTTGGCTTATGCTAGACATCTTCATCAAGAGTCCCACTGGCTCATCAAAGTCAGTACATATAAAGTTCAACTATCTTAGCTCCCAAACAGCACCTCTCCTGACTTCCATAGATCTGAATGTACAAACATCAGTTATCTTCCACTTACTCTAATTTATCTTGTTGGTTGCTGTCAATCACTGTCTATTGCACACTCATTTTAATTGCTAGTAATAAGTATGGTTCACCCTTGGATTCAATCTGCCCAATTTTATTGAATGAGAAGCTTACTAGTAATGAAGTCTATAAACAGGCTACAGCTTCTAGGTCGGTGACGGCACAAACAGCCCACCACAGCACACGTACCGTAGGTTCACTACTACTGTTCTAGGTTGTGGAAGGGCCAGAAAAGGAACAGACTTCTACTGTCATAGTGGCTTGGCTGCTTTCCGAAAAAAGACACTGGATACAGAAAACAGCGGATTCAGCACAGAAGGATCCAAGAAGGTCTCCAGAAAAGACAAATGAGAACCCAAGATGGCAGCAGAGAACCAGACAGAGCATAGCCAGGCCTGACTGGTTGTTGTGGACTACCAAGACAAAAATGTCCAATGAGAAAGTGCCATCACCCTAACACAAATGCTAATGTCAGACTCCACAGAGAAAGTGAATTTTTCCTGTACTTGTTTATCTTGATTACATGCTGAGGAAATTCCCAGGTGTCTGCAGGCCCTGCCACGTATCAGTGGAAAACACCACTTCAACCTACAAAAGGTTTTGTTTTCACCCCGCCCTGAGAGCTGAAGTTCAGCCATACTGAGCTTCCATTCTCCTAGTCACACTCCTGCTGGATAGACAATGTCTCCCCGACAGATACCCTCTGATAACCCTTGCTCCCTGTTATTCACTCATATCCGTGTCCAGCAGTCTCCTCTTTTTGCAGGAACATTCCAAGCACCCTGATCACACCTAGGAACACTGATGAGCTCCTCCTAGAGACCTTCAACCATGAACATACTGTGGCTCTTTCCCTATGGTCCAAGGCTTGTGTTTGCCTTTCAACTTTTCCAGCTTAATCAATGTTCTCTTTATGGAAAGGCAAGATTATCATGAAAGCCAGGAGAGTGATTACCTCTGTGACAAAAGGAGGGTGCACTAGAAAAAGTATTTTAAGCTATTGGTAATATCCTGTTTCTTACCTTGACTAGTAGATATATACATGTTTCTTCTATTATTCTTTAATTTGTACAAATATTTTAATCAGTTTCCTGAACATATGGCACATTTCAAAAATTAACTTAGCCATGAAATGTTTTTATCTATTCAAATTTTGGGGGCAGAGGACTGGAGAGATGGAAGTGGAAAAATACTGTGCTGGAAAGATAGAACACAGGTCTTCTCAAATCACAAAGACAAAAGCTGGTGGAAGAACCTCTTCAGAGCCAGGTAATGAGAACAAGGAAGCAGCAGAATGGATGGTAATGTCTAGAAGAGTGTAACAGGATGAAGATGCCAAGTCCCTGCCCAGGTGACAGGAGAATGAGAGCAGCAGTTTGGATGGACAGGTAACAAGAGAGTGAGTTCAGCCTTAGACTTGCAAAGCTTGAAGAGAAACAATTCCCTCAACAAATTCCCAGAAAGCCACGAAACCCCCAGAAATAGATCTCACATCAAGGCTGGAGCTAGACATTTGACAGCACTGACAGTGGGGTCAGGTAAGTGGGAGTGAAGTGACTTCAGGTGACCTCTAACTTAAAAGAGGGAAGAGAAGCAGAGGCAGCCACCTCAGGGATGTGGGCAGATGGGCAAGAAAGCACAGTAGAAGTGCACAACACAATCTCAAAGCAAAAGGGGTGACCAAAGTGAGATTGGGAAAACAGAATCAGGCCTAAAGGACTTCTGGCTTCTTTGCAAACTGCAAGCAATCAGCTTCACAAGTGTGGCAGGAATGACACCCAAAAGCCAGATATTAGGGCCTCTGGGAGAAAGGTGAGCACAACCACACACTGCCAGGGAAGAGACAGAGAACCAGGATGGAAGTGAGGGGCAGATGAAGAGCAGGTTTATTATTCCTTTGGCTATTTTTCAGAGAGAAGTTCATCAAGCTTATTCTTCTAAGGCAGTGGTTCTCAAAGGTCAGGGAGATTTTGCCCATAAAAGACATTGACGTTCGTCTTCTTCATTGTCCCAACAAAGAACTGACCACAAAAGGTAATGAAACTGAGGTTGAGAAACTGCTCAACGAGGAAGGAACAAGTGGGAAGAGAGCCTACGGAGCCTTGCTCTCAGGAAAGGGGGACATTTCCCACAGAGATGTAGGATAAGAAAACTGGTCAAGATAGGGGCTCACACTGTTTCTGGTGCAAGTGACAAAAACTGAGTAAACAAAATAGCAGCTGTGTGATTGAGCAAAAGGCTTTGAGGTGTTTGTTTTCATAGGTTTGTAAAGCCAGAGGGTAAGAATAATTATAAATATACTCACAAGTTCTGTGTTACTATTACTTGAGGCAAATGGGGAGGAATATTTTCCTTCAGATGTTCCACATCTTTATAATCTTCTTCAAGAGATTCATAAAGTTCCTAAAATTTTTTCAAAACACTCATGAATAAGCCTCTTTCCTCCCTGTGAGTGGCACAAGCCATTATAAAGACCAAGAAGACCATGAGCCATCCCAGGGGGTTGGAGGGGAGAATGTTGACTTCCAGAGCTGTTTTTTGGATGGTGATGTATTTTCTCTATTGGATTTTTCAGAGAACAATCTCTGTAATCACATTATAACTACAAAGCAAGATTGAGATTTAAAGGTTTAAGTCTCTCCCAAATATTTTAACCTTGGGAGGGAACTAAGAAACAGATGAGAAGATTGATGTTTTTCATCCTGGTAAATTGTTTTTGTTGACTTAGCACACATTCTCCGTGTTACCTATATGACAGCACCAGAGCAGGAATGTCCACCCAGATGACAGGCATGAGATGCTGCCTGGTTCCACATTGATATTTGTATATTCCAGTTTAATAAAAATTGTTTCTTGATCATAACTGTGCTTTTTTTCTCTTTAACTTCTACTATAACTTGAGGCATTGAACTTGTGCAAATTTTAATTAGAAAAATATTCAGTGCCTTTAGATTCTTGTTATCTGATTTTTAGTTTTCCCTTAAATATTCTCGAGGGCTGCACCAAACACTGGGTATTCTTGGATAGGTTAGAATTGAAATACCAGTATTGGTTTTAAATTTATAACATCTTTCTTTTGAAGAGCTGAGTGATATTCATAAACACAAATTTCATTTTCATGCCCATTGCTATAGCTGAAAATATTTACAGAGCATAAGGATTACAAAGCTGAATGGGGCCAGAGGCTGTGTTGTTCAAGTCTACTGAACACTTCAATGGTTCTAACAGCAGCATGAGGTAATTACACTGCAGAGTGAATATTTTCTCATTAGGAAGTACACAAAACTTGTATTATAAAATGTGCATGTGAGGCTCAAGTTTGTCTCTATTGAAGAATGTTTATATTTTATGAAAATATGGAAATGCAGAAAGAGAAAAGAGCTAGCAAACAGCCCAGTTCAAATGAAGATCCTCAGACACTTGAGAGATGAGGTGGTTTTCTCAGGATGACAAAGGGTATCAAAAACAGCCAAAATGAGAATCCACATCTCATCCAAGGCTGGGGTTCTTTATACATCACTCTCCCAGGGTACCATTTGTTTACATTAAACTTAACCAAGAATTATTTAGAAAATCTTTTTTTTCTATAAACTACAATACCTCTGGCCATCAGCATAAAGAAATAGCTCGGGAGCCCCAGACTCCATTATACTGGGAACATAAAACACAAATGACGCTGTATACCGTTAGTAATTTACAAAGCTAAGAACATTATAAACTTAAAGATCTTACAAATTACCTGCTGATTAGAATTTTATTTGTTGCCTTTTTGTTTTATCATTAGAAAAACATTACCTTGAGTGAACTGTTGGCTTGTTCTTGATATTGAATTTCCAATTCAAATTTATTTAGAAGTTCATTCACTATAATGATCTCATCTCCTATTTTATTTAATATAGTCTTCAAGGTAGGTTCCTGGCCTGTTATAAGAAAAGATAAAAGTAGAAAACAACACATATATCATATATATATAAAATAAAATAAAAATACTCATGAAAACTCTTGGAACTGATAGCCGAGCCTTAGAGACACGGAGGGTAGAGAAAGACTGTTATTTCAGTCCTCACACCTGTTTCCATGACAATCTGAAAACTTCACTTCAAAGTACTATGGGAGAGAAAGAAAGAGAGGCATTTAAAAAATGTCTCTGAGGCTTTTGTTTGTGGCAAATTTTTCCACTCTAATAAAACACCTAGATTTACTGAAGAAACACCTTTCTACACACCTAGCTGAGCTTTCCTGAGAATTAGGTAAATCTCTAAGAGATCCAATACGAAGAGGGATCCACAGATGACATATCACTTGTGAGCTGATGCTGCAATAACTCCATCCTATGGAGTGTGGAGGGAGGCTGAAGAGAAGGCTGTCAGCCTCAGCAACTGGATATATTTCACTTTAAGGAGAACAAGATCCAAGGCTTGGAGGCCTCAAAACACAGGGTGTTAGAAACGGGTATCTCAGATGGGGTCAGGATCCTTCTTCATTGAAAATATGTCCTGAAAAAGTCTAAACAGGCTGGGGAAATAAGCTTATGTTTCAGACTGGACTTCAGGTGTGTATAAAGTGGGAGTGAGGGTGAGGTTGAAAGTTCTCTTTGGAAAGTTGGAATGCAGGTTTGGGATTCATATTTATACTATCTATACTACTCAAAGTTGCAAACCAGAAGAGAATGACATACAAAGTCACAGGCTAGTGCTGACTCTGGAGTATCTGGAAAAGAAATCACGAGATATATATAAAGCAGCATGTTCTCATCTTCCCAGCCCCATCTCCTAACACCTCTCTCTAGCTTCATAAATTTGATGAGAAAATCAGAGACCCCTCCTCCCTAGAAAGAAAAAGTAATTTAATAATTTAAGAGAACAAAAACACAAAAGAGCAATTATCCTTACAATCAAATCTTTCCCTCTGCATTTCTAGCAACCAAACAATGAGATACATATAAATAAAAGCATACTTCAGCCATTTCTGTAGATCATGGAGGCAGTAGAGGCTGCATCATCTCAGCCTAAAGTCAGAGACACCACTACCTGCCTAAGACTACTGCAAAGATAAATGAAAGCACATAGTAAATGCTAACTACTATTCCTCATTCTAAGGAAGAGTGTATTATTTCATCTAAGGGAGCAACGTGAATTGCCTTTAACATTCAGCTCATAACCACTAAAACAAAACAAGAATTCTATTCAGCTCATAAGCACTAAAAACATGAATTCCAATGTTCCTACTGAGTAATTTCAGAGGGTGAAATAACTAGGTGGAAATAGTATCTCTTCCCCATACACGGGTATCTCAAATAATTTGTTTTTGTTTTTATTTTATGAAAAATAAAACAAATTTTCATAACCAAATAACAACAGAAAACCCACAGTTATTTAGTCACCTAAACTTTAAGAGTTTTCATTACTGATTTATAGTAATAAAATCAACAGAACAAACTCACTCCTTTTGATAGGATTCATCTAGTAAATTACAGCAGCAGCTAGGTAGGCTATGGAAACAAACTCTTCTCCCCATCTACTAAATGACAATTGTCCAGTGTAGTAATCTAATAGGTCTGCAGATTCAGGCAGGCCTCTGTTTTGGAGGGGTCATTTGAATCTAATATTACAGATCTTCAAATTATAATGGCACCTTGGTTCATGAACACTTTTGATTGTGAACAATTTGGTTCACAGACAGAAGCGATTAGCAAATGTTTTTGTTTGTAAATTCTACATCAGGTGACAAACACGACAGTGATCATCTTTCCCACACAAACACAAACGCAGCCATCTTTTCCAAAATTGTGGAACAAATTAAGTTTTTGAACTGAGGTACTGCTGCATGTGAGGTATGATCCAAAAATAAAGTGAATGTGTAAGTTTATTATGGTAAAGGACACACTGCTATTAATCCCCCTCAAAATACTCCCCCTCACTTCAAATACACATATGCCACTGTTTTTGCCAACTTTCTGAAGCAGTTCTTGTAGTCCTCTTTAGTGTCTTCAGTTGTGATGTGATGGCTGCCTCAGTGTCCTGAACTGATTCAAAATTTACCTTTCATGGTCACTTTGACTTTGGGGAAGAGCCAGAAGCCACACAGTACCAGAGCTGGTGAATAAGAACACACTCTCTTAACTTTTTGATAAGCCTGCTTTTCCATTGGATGGCACTAGTCTTGACAAGGATCATCTGTTTCTTTGAATTTTCACTACATCATCCTTTTTCGGTTGTCAGAATATTTTCAAAGATAAGCATGACCTCCAGTTTATGGATGCTTTTCAAATTAATTTTATTGTCAGTTACCTGCTCCCCGGTAATACACAGAGATAAGCTTACTCTAACGCAGGCTGTGCCATGGCTTCTGAACTACTTCTTCCTTTGTGGATCTTTTCCATTTCAAGGTTGTTTTCTTCCACTTGCCTTTTAGTGTATCCATTAAACTCCAGAACTATGGATGCCACATACCTTCAAAACTTACTACCGGCCTATATGCCTCAGAAGAACATAGGTAAATAAATCTAGTGAATATTTAGTTCATCATTCAGTGTATCCTCCGCAATAGTCAAGAGTGATGCTGAAATGTTTTTAAAACTACTTGAAATTGAAAATTACCTTTTTAACATACATTCACTGAGACAGATATATCATTCAAAATTTAATAATAATCAAAATGTATACTGTACCTAAAGTCAGAAAATCTGTTTTACTTACCAAGATTTCTTAACGACAGAGTTTTTTTAATATTGCCAATCTTTTCGTTAACATGAGAGCATAACTGTTCCAGCTCTGAGGTCATCTTTTAATCCTGTGAGTGCAAAAATATAAACATGTTTGTGAAGAAAGAAGAGGAAGAAGGAGAGGAAAGGGGGAGGAAGGAGACAAATCAGATAAATTTCTGTTCATTTTCAAAATCCAAAATCCAAAAATGGTAAACACTTACCAAATCACATTTCCTTGAAAGTACAAAAGGGCAATTTATTTCAATCTACAAAATTCATTTTCTAACCAAAGTGCAATAATGGTGTGTCTTAGAGTCTTCTGCAGTAAATGGACACCAAACCAGGGTATAGGGAATGATCCTAGATGACACCTTAATGATTCAGGAAGACAAAAGTACTATTTATATATAAGACAACATAGGTACGTCTTTTAAAAATGCAAAATATACCTGCATTTTAAAGAAACACTTTAATTTCAAAACGGGCCCAGAGAAACACTTTTCCTATGGGGTGGATGGGGGTGAAGACAGGAGCTTCAGAATATGAGATCCATAAGGAGAAGAGAGGGGCTGGGGATTTAGCTCAGCGGCAAAAGCGCCTGCCTGGCAAGCGCAAGGTCGTGAGTTCGGTTCCCGGTACCGGAGAAAAACAAAAAAAAAACAAAAAACATAAGGAGAAGAGAGGGGAAAGGACTCAGTTCCCAGTCACTCTGAGGACAAGTTGGAGGGGGTTGCTGCACTTTGGACAAAGAATAAAAAGTTTAGTCCACCCCGCCGGGCGGGCCACGAGCCCCCACTTGTCAAGTGACGCGTCCGGCTGCCCTAGAGGCCAGGGATCCCCCAACACCAGACACCCCCTCGCGCCGGTTGGGCAGCAAAGGGTTTACTCGCAGCTGAGTTAACAGCTAGGAAAACTCCACTCACTGTCAGAACCCAGGGATGGCTGGCCGCAGCTCGGGAGAGAAATTCAAACTACCCGCCAGGTCCCGCGCGCGCAAGCGCACTTGCAATCTCCCAGAGCGCAGGGTTAGTGTTTCCGGGTCGTCTCCGACCTTAGTTGGGCGGGGCGGGGAGGCGGGGCGAGGAGGCGGGGCGGATCCCGCGGGCGGACTTAGCTGGATTGGGACCAACAGACTGCCACTCTGACCCCTGGCGGTCAGGTGTGATCCCAGTCAGTCACCCATCACTGACCTCTTCCCCACAAGGGATCAAGTGCTCCAGGGATAAAATGCCAAGGTGCAAAATCCGCTCCCGGGAGAGTCACCGACGGCAGCTTTTGCACATCTCAATGGCTGGGCACAAATCAATAAAATCAGACATTCCAAAGGCGAGGCCTAAATCTTTGTTTTTAAAATACCCCAGATAATTTCAAAAAGAAGCCAAATTGGTGAGCTAAAAGAGCCTCTGAAAGGACAAATGCAAATTTAAAATTTTATACGGCAAGAGTTTAATTTCCTCTACCAAAAAGGAAGGGCATCCCAGCGTGGGAGTGGTAGGTCCACAATCAGGTTCTTTCCATTTTTCAGCACCATCATCCGTACTATCCTGACGACCTTCCCAATCTTTGTTCATGTTTGCAGTGGATAATGTTTACATTCCGAGTGTGGAGTTGGTTCATGTGCAAACACATCTTTTCTTTTTTTCATCCCTTAAACCTCCCCTCCCTCTGACTGTTGATCCCCCTCCCATTCAAGAAAGAGTGTCTTCCAACTTAGTAATATCTATATATCTTTTATTTTGCTCTTATTATTTTGGGTTTCTCATAAAAGAGAAAACATGCAATATTTAAGCTTTTGTGTGTCTGGTTTATTTCATTTAATATTGTGGTCTTAAGGTGCATCCATTTTCCTGCAAATGATTCAAGTTCATCTTTCTCTATGGTAGAGTAGTACCCCACTGTGTGTAAATACTACATTTGTTTCAAGCAGTGGAAAAGGGGAAGAGGCACAGATGATAAGCTCATCTACTAGCCATCACCTTTAAAGTGTTTTCCTAGACCTAGAATCTGCCTTATCCACTTTTCACTGGTCACTACTATCTGTAAAGGAAACAAAAACTCTTGAAAAAAATTTAATCTGGAGAGTTAAATTGCATTCTCAAGAGTATAGGAGGTCAATTTTTAAGGGAAAATGAAAGCAAAGACACTGAGTAGGTGAAAGAGTTCAAAATATGACACCCTGAGAGTGTCACCAAGATGGCAGAGTGGTAAGCAACAGAGAAAGAGCCTCTCTGAATGTTGCCATCCAGACACTGGAATACAGCAATGTGAGGAAGACAAGCAGGGACGTGGGTGCCCTGGGCCTAGGAAGGCTGTGAAGCACAAATTGAAGCCCACAGAGAAAGTAAAGAGAGAAACTTCAATGAAGAAGAAAGTACCTGGTGGCACCTTCTCCCTGAGATGGAACTCACTGCACGAGAGGAGCAATTCAAACCTGCAGACACATGGTGACTGCTGGCAACCCCAGACACCCCCACAGAAAGACACAGCAGTGGAAGGGAGCAGTGGATGTGAAGGACTACACTAGCTGGCTGCCGCATCCAGCACAGCTCTTGAAGTTCCTGGGGGGAAGGATGGTGAGTGGATGGGGAAATAAACACAGAAACAATATACAGAAAGCTGAGGTCAGGTGGAGCCCTCTTCCCAAATGAGAGAAAAAGGATTGTTCAACAACTGCAGTGCATTTATTTACAAATTTAGCAAGTTGTCAGGTGAAACTCCTTTGCCTAATTACTAGCTCACCTCTCACACCTTGTTGTAGTCAGGGGCTTACAAGGGGAACAATCAAGGACACATAGTTTAGAAGATTGTTTTATAATAGTCACCCAAACAGTCATATGCAAAAAGACTGCAGGAAATCTGTTCACACATTAATATCTGCTCTGGGAAGGCCCAAAAGTCAGTGGTGGAAACTAGAAAGTCTGTGCCAGCAGGATAAAGGATCTGTGCTAGCAGGCTGAGGGATCTGCACTGGAGCCAGGAAGCAATGCTCAAAGTAAGAACCAGAGCTCCCTCAAAAAGTACCACAGCCATCTTCAGCAACAGTGAGATTCCAAGCTGTTCTCACAATGAGAATAGCTGAGTTCCCATCAGGAAAGTCAATGCAGCAAGCTTCTCCAGGAGACTGGCAGTGCACCATCTTCCCTTCTAGATTCAGAAAGCAATGCTCAAAGTGAGGACCAGAGCTCCCTCAAAGTGAACTGAAGCCATTCTCAGCAATAGCAAGGTCTCAAGCTCCTTGGATGATGAGTTCATCAGGAAAGCCCGCATGACAAGCTTCTCCAAGAGAACCAACAGCTCCTTACAACTTCTAACAGCACTGTGGTGGATTGATAACTGGTGGTCAGCTTATAACCCCCAG